CACTAACCATTCTAACTGAAGCTACCACCTAAAGGAAACTCTAAAATTGAAACCAGCCTGCAGTATTCAACTCCCCAAATGAGGACCCGAGGAATGGATCAGGCAGAAACAGACACAGTACTAAGACCTTCCCAGATACATTCTGCTAAATGCTGATGCGTGAAAAGACCTGCTGTCTTCCCTAAGTACAGTGTACATGCTAAGTCGCTTCAGTCGTGTATCTGAAGTGGGTGCCATGCCTTCCTCCAGGGGATCTTCCAGACCCAGGGATCGAATCAACATCTCTTATATCTTCTGCATTGACAGGAAGGTTCTTTACCACTAGTGCCACCTGAGAAGCCCCCTAAATACACAAAGAATCTGCCCACAGATACACAGAGTGAGGATTAAAGTTTGTTGCAGATAATCACCCTCAGGCAAAAGCCTGGAAGGCAGGAGGATACAGGAGTCAATCTTGAGTCTGTTGGCATTAGAGAAGAACCCCTGGAAAGAAGCCCCAGAATAGTGCAGAGCTGGGAGGAGTTCTCTGTTTCACAGAGTTCTCTGACCACACACACTGTAAGAAGAACAATGAGTTTGGCCCAAAGGCCTGGTCGTGAGCTCTGCTTCTGTCCTTCATTACTATGTGAACATGGTAACAAATTTCAGTTTCCCAAGCTTCAGTGTTCAGTCTACAAAATGTACATATCAGCAATGTCTATTTCACAGGGCTGTCCAGATTAAAAGAGATAATGGATATACGTAAAAAATTAAATGTCACTGCTCTGATTAGATTTCTCAGAAATTCCCCATTGTTTTAAATTTAACATCCAAACTCCTCCACAAGGCACACAGGATCTTCAGGATGTGGCTTCTGCCTACTTCTTTCACTTATCACTATTCCCCACCCCTGCAACTCCACAGACCAGCCAGACTGAAGCACTTAGAATTCCCAGAACTTTGCTCTTCCCTGGTGTTTGCAAATAACAGCCCTTTATGCCAGTTGCTGATATACAGCCCTGTTAATTCCTGTTTTTTCTTCAAAGCTCAGTTTAGGAAGCATCTCTTGCAGGAAGCCTTCTTTCATCACCCCTTCCCCCTTCACATGGGCTAGGTGGTCTTCCTCTGTGTTTTCAGAGCCTCTGCACCCTCTGATTCTAGGACATTCAGTAGTTGATTGGAATCACAGGTTTTGCTGTCCCTCTTCCGAGAAAGCAGTTCCTGGAGGACAGGAGTTGCCCTGCTTCCTGTTTCTCTATCTCTAGGCCTTCTAGGGCCTGACACTTCGTAGACCTCAGGAGATGGCAGCTGAGAGAATGCATGAATGCAAGCATGCATGAATCGTGGTACAAATGTAAGGGGTCCATGATGAGCAACAATTTTTGTATATCCATCTCTCTTTTCTTAAATTAGACTTAAATAGATTAAAAATAATTTCTATTAATCAATTAATTTTTGGCGGTGCTGGGCCTTTGTTGTTGTACGAGCTGTTCTCTAGCTGAGGCCCGCAGGGGGTACTCTCTGGTTGTGGTACGTGGGTTTCACGTTGCGGTGGCTTCTCTTGTTTCGGAGCACAGGCTCTAAGGCACTTGGGCTTCGGTACTTGTGGCACGTGGCCTCAGTAGAAGTGGCTCCCCGGCTCTAGAGCACAGACTCAGTAGTTGTGGCTCACAGGCTTATTTGCTCCTTGACATGTGGGATCTTCCTGGACCAGGGATTGAACCCGTGGCTCCTGCATTGGCAGCTGGATTCTTCTCACTGAGCCACCAGGGAAGCCCTATCCATATCTTAAAATACTTCAATTCTAAAAAAATTTGAAAGGAAGAAAAACCTAGAAGTCCTGTCCTCTGCTCTCCCCACCAGCAATAACCCAATTCTTTCCTCCCTGACTTCTCCTCTGGGTTACCTTCCTTGATATATAAACTGAATGGCTACATCATTTGTAGTCATAAAAGAATTTTTATTCCTGGGACTTCCCTGGTGGTCCAGTGGTAAGACTTCGCCTTCTGTTGTAAGGGGTGTGGGTTCGATCCCTGGTGGGGGAGCTAAGATCCCACATACCTCATGGCTCCTCATGGCTAAAAAACCAAAACATAAAATAGAGACAATGTTGTAACAATTCAATACTTTGAAAATGGTCCACATAAAAAGTCTTTCAAAAAAAAAGAATTTTTTTCCCTTTAACCTTGCTTATTTGAACCTGTCTATAGAGCTCTGTGACCCTCTACATCCAGAGCTGAGCTCACATTCACATTCACTGCCAGCATAATGAATAAAGATGACCTCTTGCCTCCTTTTCTTACCTGAAGGCAATAATTCTTTTTTTTTTCCTTTTACAACAGAATTTATCATCCAAATATTAACAGTAATGGCAGCATTTGTCTTGAGATTCTAAGGTCACAGCGGTCTCTAGCACTAACTATTTCAAAAGTACTTTTGTCCATCTGTTCTCTGTTGTGTGATCCCAATCCAGATGATCCTTTAGCGCTTGAGATTGCGTGAATCATTGGATTGGTCTTCCCATAGTTCTTATGGAATGGCACATAGAAGAACATCAGAGCAAAGACATACAAGTTCCATATGCCATAGATGCCAGTGAAAAAGGCACTATTCACTTGGACTGTGACGTTGCCCCTCTTCCAATGAACTTCAGTCACCTAATGATGAAGAAGATGATGTCATGGCAGCACAGGCCAACGAGATAAGCATGAGGAACTCGAACTTGAAAATTAGCCCTGAATTCTCCCGGCTGGTTTTGCCCATCCTGATGAATCTGAGGTTCTTCCTTCGTTGGGAAAGAATTTGGATACAGAGTGATAGATAAGAAGTGGATTTATTTAGAAAGAAACACACCCCACAGACAGACTGTGGGCCATCTCAGAAGGCAAGAGAGCCCTGAAGGGAGTAATTCTGAACATACCATTCCACCTCCAGCCCCACATGCTCCTCCTCCTGCTTCCTATCACACAGTGAATGACTACCTATCCACCTGTCCAGTGTGGAATTTACCCAGGACTTCTCGCTTTTTTCCCCACTCAAACTGGTCACCAAATCTTGCCCAGTCTGCTACCTTTGTATGTCAGGGACCTTTTCACTCACCTCCATCCCCACAGTTAAAACCTAAGTCCACCTCTTTTCTCTTCTCCGCCATCCTATGTGCGGTTGAGGTCTGTCCTCACCATGTCTTCTCACAAGACTTTCAGGATCAAGCGATTCCTGGCCAAGAAGCAAAAGCAGAATCGTCCCATTCCTCAATGGATTCGAATGAAAACTGGCAATAAAATTAGGTACAACTCCAAGAGAAGACATTGGAGAAGAACCAAGCTGGGTCTATAAGAAGCCTCACATAAAAAGTGGCACACGTGTTAAGACCACTTATTTAAGCAGCCGTATCACAGTGAGAACATCACTACTGTAATGCTTGGCTCCTGATGTTTCTTATTTCCTCACTATCAGTTGAGACCAGTAATAAATATGTAACGTTGGAAAAAAAAAACAAACAAAAAAACACAAAAAAACCTAAGTCCAGGCCACTATGATCCCTCACCAGAACTATTCCATTGGTCACCTAATTGGTTTCTCTGCTTTTAGGCACCTCTCATCTCCATACATTCTTCCTATTGCAGCCTGAAAATGCAAATCTGATCTTCCTTTAAAATCATCTGGCAGGAGGTACCCACTGCCCTCAAGATAAAGCACAAACTCTAATGAACTTTACAAGATCTCAGCTCTTTAGCCCCCTACTCGTCTGGCTTCATCTCCTACCACACCCCCCTTGCCGGTAAACTTCAAACATATTGAATCATTTGCTTCATAGCTAGTGAAAAGCACTTTTCCCTTCTAGAGAAGTGACTGGCTTCTAGTCATCGTCTATAGTTTGCTCAGAAGTCACGTCGCCTTTGGAGAAAGTGTCCTGTGTGCTCTCTGAGCTTTCACAGCCTCATTTCACTCTGGAGAGCTGGAGCCCCCTCGAGCCCCCTCGAGCCTGTATAACAGAATGGTCAGACACACGGGCAGTGGTGTCTGGTTACCGGGATTCCAATTCCACATTGGCCAATTATCAATTGTGCGCCTCAGGGCAAGTGAATTTTGCCTTCTTGTCTGTAAGGTGGGGACAGTATTTCATTAGTCAATTGTGAGAATTAAATGAGATGATGCGAGGTGCCTGACAATTAGAATTAGCTATTATCCTAGAACTCTAAACTAAACCTCGATTCCTCACCCTGACACATCCTCACGGTTCAGTTTGTGTGTGAATTTTTTTCCCCCCAATCTTTTGGCCCCGCGGCATGTCACATGGGATCTTAGCTCCCACACTAGGCATCAAACTCGCGACCCGGGCATTGGAAGCGCGGAGTCCTAACCACCGGACCGCCACAAGAGTCCCCTTTGTGTGTTATTTTAAGGCATACATTTGTTCCAGTATCACCTCGTAGTCTGTTATTTAACCGGGAGGCGACTTGGTCCGTCAGGACTTTCCATCTGGGAGCAACTTCCAACGCCCCCAGGTGGTTCAAGCAGTGCGCAGCCAAAACCTACTGAACTAGGGCATACCATTCGAAATCTGAGCGAAAGAAAGGCCTTTTCTAACCATATAACCTATGTTTATAAGGCCTCTTTCTCTTTCGCTTCCTAACCTCGAATTATATTAGGTCAAGTCAAGTGAGAAACAAGACTGTAATCAGGACCGAGCGGGTAGGCTCAGCTTCCACCCCCATCCCGATCGCGGCATTGGTACTTCCTCTCCTCAATTCCCTCTCAATAATGGTACCGTCCACGGAGGGGGGAACGGGAAGGGATTCTGAAGTCCTCCGAGTTCGGAGGCCGGTCCTAGCACAGAGACACCCCTCGAGTCGCGGCGCTGTCGTACCGCCCACTGCTCTCTGATTGGCTGCCGAGGCCCCGCAGTCGAGCCCAGCGCGCCGCGCCGCCCTCACTACAGCTCCGGCCGCCGCGCCGCCTGGGTTTCGTATACCTTGTTCTCTGCGGGCTGTGGGGGCTTCGCGCCGCGGCCGTTAGTCATGTCGGGTAGGTGACTTCTTCAGCGAGCAGCGGCAGCGGCGAGAAGGGGCCCGGCGGGGTTGGGCCGTCTTCCCGCCCACCGGAGGGCCCCGAGGGAAGCCTCCGGCCCTGAGGGAGGCTGGGGTGGGGGGGGGCGGCCGCGGCCGCCGCCATGTTGGACTGAAGGGACGCACGCTCCCAACACTCTCCGTCTGCAAATCTCGGCGGGAGCGCCTCGAGCCCCCTGTCTCTTGACCCAGCCCTTGGAACTTGAGGCGACGTGCCGCCCCCGGGGGAGAGTGTGTGAATCGGGGTGGGGGCGGAGGCCGCTACGCCACCCTAGGGGCGGGGGGAGCCCGTGATTAGAGCATCAGCCGGAGAGAATCGGTGCTTCTGGTTCTCCGCTTCGCCTCAGATCTTTCAGCGAGGCCTCAGGCCAGTCGTCTCGCCGTCTCGTCCCTCAGTTTCCCCATCCGTGAAGTGGAGCTGGGCCTTCCTGACTCACCCATTCATCAGGTGCGGGCCTTGATGCTCTAGGAGCCCTTTTTAAAAGGATGTTGCCTGACACGAAACCCTACATGTCGTCATTCATGTAGTACCCTCCCGGATTCGAGTTGGGGGTGTTTGCATCTAATTCAGCTTCCTCTTCACCCTCCTCTGTCATCTTCTCAGACCCTCTAAAGTTGTCTCCTCACGAGCTTGAAAGTGAGCCTTGTCTATTATTAATGGGCTCGTGTGGATGCTTGTTGCATTTATGTTGAAACATACAAACGAAAGGAAACGCAGTCTTCCACCAAGCACCTAAAATGATACGGGGACACCCCCCCACCCCCCACCTCCCGCTCCCGCCCCCGACTCGTTGTGTGGAGGAGACAAAGAGGCCTTGGTCTCATCAGGACAGCCCATTTAGATCCTGCTAAAGCAGAATATACAGTCTGGGAGGTGGATCTGCTCTTTTTTTAAAAAAATTCAGACTTTAAACGTTTTATTTTGTATTGGAGTATAGCCGATTAGCAGTGTTACGGTAGTTTCAGCTGAACAGTAAAGGGACGCAGCCATAGATACACATTATATCTATTCTCCCTCAAACCCAGATCTGCCCTTGATTTAGCATTCTTAGGTGCCACACAAGGTCCTCTGTCGTTGGGTACATCACAGGCTGCAAAGACAGACTCAGCTTTCCACTTACTAGAAACCGTCATAAGAGGTGGATAAGCACAACACGTCCCTGAAAGCCAGGTGATTGGGATGAAAATGACAGCTGGCAGAGTATTTTACATTTTTTTTTCCCCAAGGGAGAACCTGTTGATAGTGAAAAAAACAACCCCTTTTCTCCAAGTAATCCAGTTTTGCAGAAGGGTGGAAATGTGTGACAAAAAGAAAGCAGGCTAAGAGGAGCCCGTGTTAGCAAGAATGGTTGGACCGAGGAATGATAAACATTCCTTATATTAACACGGATGTTGAGTCAGAATGTTGATCTTTTGGGGAAAGGGGCAAAAGATACCTGATGTAAGAGGGTATTAATTAATTTCTTTAATTCTTGCTCAGGTGAGAAGTAACTTCTTACTCCAAAGTAGATGTTGGGGTATATTTAATTAGGTGCATAATTTGGAATGAAGTCTGGTAAAGTTCCACAGAAGAACATGTAAACACACTCTAAGGAGGGTGTGAAACCTCTCTATGATTTAAAAGGTTCTCCTACCTTCAGGGAGAAATTTACCATTTCAGTGGATATAGTTCTCATTAGGAACTATTGACCTGTCTTGATTTTTAATGTGATTATTGGTTTAAAGCAGTGGCTTATTTTTGTAGGACTGGGTAGCCTTTACAGAAAATTAAGTTTCAGAGGTGTACTGTTTGCAAAATCCAGGATTTTCAGCGTGTCGTAATAGTGTGTGAGCTGGTTAATGCATTATTACTGCTCTTCAAAATTACCAAGACGGTACATATCCTTGTTGTTTGGTAATTTGAGTGTTTTTAATACTGAAATTGACTTTCATGTCAAAAGAAGCTATTTAGTAATTTGCTTGTTTCTACATTAAGTCAACTAAATTTAGAATTAACTTCTACTTAGTGTTAGATGCTATTTGTACATTTTGTAATTTGCGTATAAAAATAATACTTTTGGCTTGATATAGAAATAGGAGTGATGTTGTTGACTTATTCTTGATGAATGTTTAAGTTAATAAATTTAAAAGAGCAGACTCCCTCCTAAACATCTAATAGCATTCAGTTTAGGTAAATCCGTTAAACATTCCAAACTACACTTACAAATTTATCAAATTGACTCAACCACTCTAGGTGCCTGACAAGACAGATTTATAAATCTAGTAAAATAAGTGTGTACATAATCAATAAGTCAGAATTGTAAATATTGTGAGTCAGACTCTCAGATAAATATTAGCTGACACCTTTTAAGTTAAAGTCAAATCTGATACCACTTACACATATAAAAGTTACAAAGTCAAGATACTTCTTTTGGCAATAGGGCAGACTAAGATAACTTGCAAATATTCTGTCTACAGATAGCTAAAAATGCGGGAGCTTAACATAAAACAAAGGGTGGGCTTCTGCTGCCAGAAGTGAAGTAGAAGCCAGCATGGTAGGCATAGAGCTGACTTGGTGGTTTCCCTGAAGAGGAGGGTGTAGGTCACAGTATTCAGAGAGTTGAGTTTATTGCTCAAGTAACTAAGCACAGCAGATGAAGTCTTGAGACCTTTAGAGCCTTGTAGTAGGAACTGAGACTCTTACATAAACCCTGGATCTTCAGTGAAAGAATGAACTAGGAAAAAACCTTCATATCAGCATAGGAGATAACAAACCTGGGCCTTGAGTAAGAGGGAAAAAAAGTCTTTTTCCAAGAATTTGTAACCTGGGAACTGGGCTTCATAATTTCAGTGTACACTTAGACTAGTTATGAGATCCAGGAAACCTCAAGCCAAGAAATTTAATGTAAAACTTTGTTCTAGACTGGCACTAATAACCTTGGGGTTCTTAGTAGAAACAAATGAAAACCTTTTTTGAGTAAATTTCAGGGTGTGGGTCACTAGGAATTTTATAGGAAAAACCTTGCAGTTCACAGTAATACATTGCAGCATTCTGGGAAACAGCTCACCGAAATGAGTGACAAATGGCAGTTGAACCCCTAATTAGATGGTTTGGACAAGAGTATTAAAGGTTTAAAATTATTAAAAACCTAAAAAGGAATCAGCCCTAAGACCAAGACTTGAAAAAAGGTTACATAGATTTGAAAAAGAACCAAGTGTAACTTCTAGAGGTGGAGAAAGTGTTTAAGTTGAATTGCAAATAGACCTAGCTGGAAGAAATAACTAGTGAGGTAGGAAATAGATGGGGTTTAATTAGCAATTACCTGGGATTCAATTCAGAAGGTTAAAATGAAGATTGAGAGGTTAGGAAATGTGGGAGGGACTGTAACTGGTGGTCCAGTGCGCTTCCAGTTCAGAGGGTGTGGGTTTGATCCCTTGGCATTAAGATCCCACATGGTCTGGAGTGCAGTCAGAAAGTTTAAAAAAAAAAAAAAAGAAACGTGGAAAGTAGATTGGGAAGCTCTGGTATACATCTGAGTTTGAGGAGAAAATGGTAATTGATAGTTGAGAATTTTCCAAAATAGATGGATCAAGAAGCAGTAGTCTCAAACATGAGACAAAAGTCAGTTCATACTCATACATAAATGTGAGACTGAATTTATGAAATACCAGTAACCTAGCAGAAGAAATAGGGAAATGGTAAGATTGGTAGATTTCTTAAAAGTTTGAAGAAGCTGCTAAATACTGAAGTGATCTTTGAAGTTTAGAGGAAAAATAACATGTGACCTTGAATTTTTTATCCAAATAAAAGACAGTACCACTTTCAGGTGTTTACTGAAGGAACTCATAAAAAGAAATCCAGAAGGGAGGAGTAAGATGCAAAAAAATGTAGAGGAAGTAAATGCAGTAGATAAAAAGTATTGACTGTGTGGGATTTTGAAGATTAAAATGATTACATTTAGAGTTTTTACAGTGGAAGCAAATGATACAGGAAAAAATGTGGAAGCAAAATAATAGATGAAGGCTGTAATTGGCATTATAGCATTAAAATTCTTATATTCTAGTGGAGGTTGAAGATCATTTTGAACTTTATAAAAAATGTATGTTAAAAATTGAACATAATCTTTAAATTAATGAATGGTAATTTATTACAAGAACAGAATTTGAGCATCTAAAGCAATAGAGGGGGAAAAGAGGAAAATCGAGTAGAAGGAAGCTAAGGAGTTGCGGGGGGAAAAAGGCCCTGGTAAGTAGAGAGTCCAGTATAGGCTACTAGGAATGAATAAAAAGTAACAGTAGTGAAAATATGAAAACATCAATTGAGAGATTTTCCACATTGGGAAAAATTGATCTAGATACATGCTTTCAAAAATGATACAAAAAGTGAAAATGTTAGTCACTCAGTGATGTCCCACTCGACCCTGTGGACTGTAGCCGGCTAGGCTCCTTTGTCCATGGGTTTATGCAGGCAAGAATACTGGAGTGGGTAAGAATTTCCTTCTCTAGGGGATCTTTCCGACCCAGGATTCGAACCACGAGCTTCTGCATTGCAGGCAGATTCTTTACCATCTGATCCACCAGGGAAGATGTCTAAAGCATCAGAATAAGAAATGTTAAGAAATATAGAGATAGAAAAAGACTTATCAGGCAAACATCAACCAAAAGGAAGATTGCTTGGTTACCAGTCAAAAGAAAGTTTGGACATTTTTAATGATAGTCTTCATGTAATGTTAAAAGGAAATTCACCAGGAAGGTGTAAATATGTACTTTTATGTGCCTGACAGTATAGCCTCAAAATGTAGAAGCAAAAAAACACTGTTAGAAGAAATTGACAAATACAGAGTCAGACAGGGAATTTTAAGTTTAAACATACCTCTCTGTGTAATTAATAGATCAGGTAGATGAAATAGGAATGATAAAATTAACAAGCATCTTACAGACAGAATTCTTTGAACATTTAGAAAATGCAGTTCTTTTCAAGCACATATGGGGCATTTATGAAAGTGAAAGTATTTACCAAGGGGAAAAGCAAAATCGTGACAAATACCTAGAATAGAGAAAATACTTTTTCTGGCTGCAATGGAATATAATTAGACAGAACCACAAAGAGTATCAAAACCCTGTACACTTAGAAGTAAAAGCACTTCTGAATAATTCATGGGCCCAGATATAAGGCTCAAGTGCCAAGAACTTAATAATGAGCAGTTGTTTGAAATGCCTTAGAATTTATTTTTTTGTCATACAGTTTATAAACTGATTTTCTCTGAATGTAAAACATGTATACTTTCTTAGTCAAGTATACTAAGGGCTAGACTTGTTGGTCAATATGCTTATTTCTGTGTTCTAGAGTTTTAAAGTCAGTCAGCTAAAGAAGTCATATTTACACTTTCAGAGAGCAGAAGTGACTGGGTTAAGAGGTCTGATTCTTAATAGATTAGGGTCCTATAACATGTGTGCTGTGTACTTCTATAATTCTTGCCTGAGCCAAAGTATAATAAGATCTTGGACTCTACTCTGTTGCTGGGAGAACCCATATCCGTGCCTTGGGATATAATTTAACCTAAAGCTTTATATCCCCAGTGTTGTATATTTGTTTCACTTGTACACTCCCTCCTTCCACTGTAATCCTTTTTAGCTTCTGAATTGGTTGAAACTAATTTCCTTTGCCATTTGATAGAAGCATCTAATCTTTTAGATACATCTAGTCTTTGAGATACATCTAATTTTTTTATGATCCAGGTAGATTCTATATTTTCATATATTTCTTATTTGATTGTTAGCTACAAATCTAGTTATTTTATTACAGGCTTGTGTGTGCTAAGTCACTTCAGTCATGTCACTTCAGTCATGTTCGACTCTACAACCCTATAGACTGCAGCCCACCAGGCTCCTCTGTCCATCAAATTCTCCAGGCAAGAATACTGGAGTGGGTTGCCATGCCTCCTCTAGGGGTTCTTCCCGAGCCAGGGATCGAACCCATGTCTCTTAATGTCTCTTACATTGGCAGGCAGGTTCTTGACCACTAGCGCCACCTGAATATTATGGGCCGTGATGCACAATTTTTTTCCACCTTGGTTAGCCACCAGGGAAGCCCACTTCTCTTTTCTAGTAGCTAAGTCATGTCCGACTCCTGTGATGATACTGTGGACTGTAGCCCACCAGGCTCCTCTGTCCATGGAATTTCCCAGGGAAGAGTACTAGAGTGGGTTGCCATTGCATTCTCCAGGGGATCTTCCTGACCCAGGGGTCAAACCCGCAACTCTTGCATTGGCAGGCGGACTCTTGACCACTGTGCCACATGGGAAGCCCCAATTCTTTTACTCATCACTAATAAAGGTATGTCATTCATTTGAATCTGAGGAGAATCCCAAAGGATATATGCTAATTGCCCAAGTCCCTGAAAGCTTTGGTAAAGTTGGGGTTAAACAGCTGACTTAGCTTTTTACCAAGTCTTCAGAGATCTTTTTGTTGCTCCTGACAGCCAGAGCAATCCAATCCAATCCAATCCAAGGGAGTGGTGTATGTTCTTAGAGTGTGTATTTTCCTTTTTTTAATCCTGATTAGTTTTAACAGATGTCTTTTTGTATATAAAGATAATATAGCTTGAGCTTTTGAGTTTCTGTTAAAAGGATGGGTTTTTCACTGATTGTTTCTCACTTATTTACTTGATTTTTGTGACATCAGGACATTTGTAGAGTAGCTATTTTCAGAGATATTACTGTAAATAGCCAGTACTGTTGACACAGATTTTTCCTTGCACTGTATTTTTAACTTCTAGTTTTCCTTTCTGTAGTTACTTTTTATAATATTTTCTTAACATTTCATCTGTAAGAGCTAAAGTCAGCCTTTGAGGGAAGCCTACTTTTAAATAAGATTAAACATTCTTTTTATGTGTTTTAGATTCTGGAAGTTACGGTCAGTCTGGGGGTGAACAGCAAAGGTAAAGTATATGCACATTTCAATAATACCATGAATGAGTAGAACTGAGAAAAAAAGATATATTAAGTCAGGTGTCCCTCTTGAGATTTGGTATCTTGACGTCTTAAAGAGTTAAATACTAGCTTGTCGAGGGGAAACAGTTGGCCTAGGTACATAGGTGCTGTAAAACATTTTTCTTTTTTTAAAAGGCTGTTTCAATCAGTAAATATAGATGCCCCCTAGAGATTAAAACAAATCTCACAGGTATTGTAAAGATTGTTTCCTTTAAGAAAGTTTTTAGCAGAAATCATTATTAAAAGGATATAAGCAGTTAACTATAACAGCTTCTTAGAAAAAGCATTTTTTGGATGGTATATAATATGCTAACATGTTTCTGGAGTGGATTTTCTTGAAGCGCTATGATAGAAATGTTTAGTGTTTTTAAAAGGCTCCTTGCTATGCTCACAATAAAAAGTCTGTTTTTATGTGAATACATTCACATGTAGTAGGATTCTCTTGCTTAACAGAAATACAGCCTTCAACTTGTACTATAAATGTTTTGTAGCTCGGTGTGAGATTTTCAGGAGCATCTCAGATATCTTCTGTCATCAAGTTTTAAGCTTAGTGAAAACAAAACTGATTTGACTTTTTTATTCTCATAGGATAGACCCTTGTAGTAGGCAACTGGCAAATGTTTATTCAACGAAATATATTTTATAAAGTTAAATTCTTTTAGTACTTGATAGCTCTAAACTAATAATTTATTTGGCAGATGTTTTATTTTGCTTTGGCATATATTCAGAAAGTTTATTTCTGACTCGTTAAAGCTTATATATAATAACATTAAAGAAAGTTCAAATCTGAGGAAGCTACATGTATTCATTCAGTTAAAAACTGTATGCCAGGCTGTGCTGTAACGCGGGGGGTACAATATACTTTTACTCTGTGATAGTGCTCTGAAGATACACATACCTCTATTACTGAGGCACTAAAAATTGGACATTTAATGCCACACTGTGCCTTTTCTAGGATCTTAGAGGCAAGTTAAGGTAAATGGTAGGAAGAAATTCTGTCAAATCACAGTTAAATTGATTGAAGCTCTAACTTAGAGTCTTTTTTTTTTCTTTCACTTCACATATTTATTAATGGGTCTTGCTACCATTCTATCCCCAGCCTCCTACCCATCCAAGCATAATTCTCTTGGGATTTTCTAGCTCCGGTGGTAAAATTTTTTTTTTCTGCACAACAAGCTTATTTTTATTTATTTTTATCTTGGGCAGCGTTGGGTCTTAGCTGTGGTGAAGTTTTTTTTGTGAGAGATTGTCAAAGCAAAACGTCTGGTGATTGACATTCAAGAGGTCTTGAAATGACTTCATTTATGTCTTTGACTGTCTTTGGTTATCACCTTTTGGTTAGACTTTAAGAGGTAGGCAGATTGACCATTTTTCAGGAAAGAAGCTTGTATTTGAGTTGATAGTTGAAAATAAGGATAGAGTTCTTTTAAGCCTTTAAATTCTAGCACATTTCTTTCAAGTAGTACGTCTTTCTTTTACAGTTATTCTTCCTATGGAAATCAAGGCAGCCAAGGTTATGGACAAGCACCACAAGTAGGTTAAATATAAATTGAGTTCTTTATAAATAGTTTTAATCTTAAATATGCAGTGAAACTTGTATTTATCTAAATTTCAGAGCTATTCTGGCTATGGACAAACTACTGACTCTTCATATGGACAGAACTATAGCGGCTACTCCAGTTATGGACAAAGCCAATCAGGTTGGACTGATTTGTTAAATTTACTGTTTTAGATGTTAAAAAATCAGAACCTTTCCTAAATGTGTATCCATTCAATCTTTAGGTTATTCACAGTCCTACAGTGGTTATGAGAATCAAAAGCAGAGCTCATATAGCCAGCAACCATCTTATAATAACCAGGGACAGCAAAACATGGAATCGTCAGGAGGGTAAGGAAACAGTAAAGTACTGAGGTTGTGTTGGGAAATGAAAAGAACACTTTGGGCATTTAACAGTTTTCACTAAAAAGTCCTTGCTTTAAACACTTTTTTCAGAAAAGTGTTGATGAAGTATGAATTTCATAGTTTTGTGTTATAAAGAATGTGGAAATTGTCAGTTGATATTTTGTTCTTTTCATGTGTTACTTATAAAATTAGTGCAGCTCTAAATGAATGCAGATGATTTAAATATTAAAAAGTAAAATTTGGACCTCTGCTTTATACGTGAGATGAAATAAAAAAGCTGCCTATAAAGACTTACCAATGTTTACTTTTTATTTCCATCTTATTTTTTAACCATTTTAATGTCTTACCTTTTCAGGGACAAAAATATTAAAGAAAAAGTGCCAAAAACTATCCACATATTTCAGATTCCTTAAAAATGTTTTAATTGTTAATATGGGTAGGTGAATATTAGCAATTTTACAGGTTTTTTTTTTTTTTAATAATTTTTGGATTTGAGGAGCCTGTCCTTGTTACTAGTTTTAATAATAGCAACTTATTTTTACTGTGCTTTACAGTTTGTGAAATGCTTTTGCATTTCCTAATTTAATTGATTCTGTTTTAATTACCACTGAGATTGTTAAGATTTTGTTGGCTTGCAAGTTACACAGCTAAAAAGTGAGACAGAAATGGAAGTCACTAGTATTTTTTTGCTTCTGCAGGGAAGAAATTATTCTAAGTGAAATTCAGTTAAATAAAAGCATTGGGAAAAAAATTAAGAAAAGATTTATGACATCACATTTATCAGTCTTAATAGATAGGAGAGTGCTTTGAAAAGTAGAAATGGAATACAAGCGTAGGGAATACCATCAAGAAAGCATGTTATATTAGAAGGTTCTTCAAGTCCTGTTGGTTAGTTTTAAATTTAAGGAGAATCTTTTTATAAGTATACAGTTGTGGAAATGAGACATCTAAGTGTGGACCAAAGAGAAATGTTAGATTTGGTTTAAGTCATTCTCAAGGAAATTGTAGGGTTCTGACCATTGTTGTGATGTGCTTTGGATAGGGAGTTGGGGAACATACTGATCTTTATTAGATATTTTGATCATTTGATGTGACATAAGATGTGACAATTAAGATAGGAGGCCATTTTTGTTCCCACTCCCCCTTTTTTTTTTAGTAACTCAAAACATTAGAACTCAAATCCAATGAAGTATTTCTTTCAACACTCCCATCCTGAGAGTAGGTAATTAATAACCATATTGCTCAGAACCTGCTTAGAATTTTTTTTTTAATGGCCAGAGATAATAAAGCAGTCTTTGATAGTTAGACTTCTTTTCAGTTAAAAAGTTGCATCACAAAGCAAGTTCCTTCTTTCTACTCAGCAGACTAAAAATTTGAATGATTTATTACTATTTTCTAATAGCAATATTGTGTACTATTGGAGATGCTTAGAAGAGTATACTAATGATAAGGTTCTAAAGATAAGAAAGTAGTCCCCAAAATATTCTTGCTTCTCTATAGTTTTCAAAGGTGTGTGCTTTTTCTCATAATGCAACACCTCTTCAGTGATAGTAGAATTATTGTTTGAAAGTCATTCCATTGGTGATAAGATTCTCTAGATATAAAAACTAGATGATTCTCACCAGAAAGGAGTAGTAAATGTGGTTGAGGTCTTAGAGCAATCACTCAGTCAGCTTAACTACAGTAAACAGTCCTGTAAAGTCACTTAAGTTGTTGATCTCTGTTTTAGCCAAGGTGGAAGAGCACCTTCATATGACCAGTCAGACTATGGTCAGCAAGATTCATATGACCAGCAGTCAGGCTATGATCAACAACAAGGCTCTTATGATGAACAGTCAAATTATGATCAGCAGCATGATTCCTATAATCAAAACCAGCAGTCCTACCATTCACAAAGGGAAAATTACAGCCACCACACACAAGGTAAGATATGCTGACCTCTTATTTTTTTTTAACCTTCAGAGAATTGTTTGTATATTGAATTTTATTTTGAAAGACCCAATACAAATTACAGATTTCAACTGTAAACATTTGGAGTGACCTTGAACATATGTTCTCTCTCATATCCATCAAAGTTAGTTTCTTAGGTTGATATTCCTGAACTTCTTGGAGACTCCAAATGGTCATGTGATTTTTTTTGCTGGCTAATTAAAAAATTCCTTTGTTGTCTCAATAAAGTGATCAGTTGACAGTGCTGCTACTGCCATTTTTTTTTTTTTAATTTGAAAATTTTGTACTTTTTGGCTGCACCATGAGGCATGTGGAATCTTAGGTTCCTAACCAGGGATTGAACCCTTGCCACCTGCAGTGGAAGCACAGAACCTTAACCACTGTACCACAGCAGGGAAGTTCATGCTACCAGTTCTTTTTGGTGGTGGTGCTGTATGTGATTTGAGAAAATTATGATCCTGTATTAACCTTCTCTAACGTCGTACCACTTTTATCTTTACTGTGGTATTTAAGAACCTGACCAGCCATGAAAATGCATGCTTCAAGGGCGAAGGTCCTGTCATTTTTGTACCTGCTTAATATTTGTTGACTAGTTGAATGAATGACTTAGCAACTGAGTAAAAGAGAAAGTTCATTCACTAAATACCTTATTCAGTAAATACATTCACTACTATTTCTCGGTTTGAAAATCTGGTTATTCCTTATTTGTGTTTTATTTACATTCAAATATTTTCGACATGAAAAAAGTAGCTTTTTAGATTAGGGTGTCCTTTTAATTAACTAGGATTCTGTACCTAATGTACTTAAACTATTTCATGTTACCATCACATCAAAAGGTGATAACTATGCCATCATTTTTTTTTTTTTAATTTTTATTTTTTTTATTTATTTTTTTATTTTATTTATTTATTTATTTTTTTTTATCACAACCATAGTGTATCTTTTTTTTTTTTTTTTTACATGTATTCCCCATCCCGGTCCCCCCTCCCACCTCCCTCTCCACCCAATCCCTCTGGGTCTTCCCAGTGCACCAGGCCCGAGCACTTATGCCATCATTTTGCTGTCTGACTTTGGTAGAATGGAATTTGACACAGGTATAATTCTCATACATTTAATTCCAGATTGTGTTATGGTGACTTGCATTTGAGTTTTGTGCACAAGTGCCATTTTCTGAAGGTGATTTAAAGAGCCATTTAGGATTGTGTTGTGGAAACCCTTTGTCAGAAATTTCAAGTTGCTCATGTATGTTTGTATTAATTTTCTTTTCTGTAGATGACCGTCGTGATGTGAGTAGGTATGGAGAAGATAATAGAGGATATGGCGGGTCACAGGGAGGAGGTAGAGGGCGTGGGGGATATGACAAGGATGGAAGAGGTCCTATGACAGGATCAAGGTAAGTTTTTAGATACGGATGCCTACATTTCTTTTTCTTTTTTAAAAAAATTATTTAGCTGGTTTGATTCCATCATCTGATTTCGTTAAGATGCCTAAAAAAGAGATTATGTTCTAGACAAGAGGACAGAACTTCAAATTTTATTTTCAGTGTTAAGATGTCACATAAATTACCTCCACCTTTTGTTTTATTAAAACCAGTGGAGAAAAGTCCCCTGCTGTAATGTGGTTAAACCACTCAACTATGTTTTTCATGCCAGAGCTATAGACTCTAAACTCATTTAAAAGATGACTCTGGGAAATCCAAGTGTTTCAATCTATAGAAAGTAAAAGGTAAGTTTAGAATTCTAGATTAGAAGGTAGAGAGGCTGTTTTAATAATGAATCCCTTTGGGATGGGAAAATATTAGGAAGCAATAGCAGAGTATAAAGTTGAGGTTGGCAGAGAAGAGAAAGATTGTATATAACTGAACTATTTTGTTCCTATTTTTAAGTAAATAATTACTGAAATATTTAGTACAATGTCACATACCATTGTGTATTTTGTCTAGACTAAGCTGTGGAAAAGGAATGACTTTAATTCAGCTTTCCTTTTTTTTAATTGTTATTTTTATTTTAGGTTTTGGTATTTACTTATGGCATATGTTATGAAAGCTGGTTTTAAAATTACTTTCAAGTATATCTGTAAATTTAGCACTTTTGCTCTAAAAACAGGAATGAAAAAATAGTTGGCACTTACTGTCCTCAGATGAAATTTGTACATGGCAAATTTCATGTATAAAATATGCAGGCTTAAAGGATAATTTGTGTTCTTTGGGCATTGAAATTGTCAGCAGCATGTTAACTGACAATAATATATCAGTACTCTTTTGCTTCTTAGGGACTGTCTGTCTGTTCCCTGAGGTAAACTGAGAAAATTAGTTACATACAGCACTGTTAATTTTTCAACTCTGCCAGGAATCTCACTGACTTTTTCTATTTAGTGTACAGTGCTTTGATCTAACAAATCTAAAGTCTAAACATATTTGAAAAACGTTTATAAGACTTGAACATTTGATTAATAGCTTAAGTCAGTGTATTAAGGTAAAGCAACTATGTTGTATGCCTCTTTGTATCATAGAGGATAGTGTACCATCATGTGGATATAAATGAACAGTGTACAGTGATACAGTGCTTACTATCTATCCATAGCTTCTTCCCGTCAAACAGCATCCCAGACAGGATAACTAATAGGTTATGTGATTTTTCCAGGTAATATGTTTTAGATCAGTGGTCCCCAGTGTTTTTGGCACCAGGGACTGGTTTTGTGGAAGACAATTTTTCCACGAACTGGAATCAGAGGGGGATGCTTTTGGGACGATTCAAGTGTTTTTACATTTATTGTACACTTTATTTCTCTTATTATATCAGCTCCACTTAAGATCATCAGGCATTAGATCCTAGAGGTTGGGAACCCCTGTTTTAGATAATTGGCTGCCTTGGGATGCTATATGTTTTATAGTATATCATAAGTTTTAATTTTCTTCATACGGAGGTTATAATTATATGTATAGATTACCTGTTAAATTATGTCTGTCTGAGAATGGCAGAATCCCACTTTTTAAAAGGAGGAGGGTAGGAAAGTCTTTAAAAATATGTTTTCAACTTTGGTAGATGACTAATCTTAGGATCAAAGAGTTGAAGGACCTTTCCTGATAAAGGAGGGAAGATCTGCATCTTAACCATCCCAGGCGTTGTAAGCACTTTGTTAACTCCTTGGCAACATATTTCAGTATAATTTTTGGCCCATGAGCTAAATTTTTGATTTTCAAACTTTTATTTAACCTTAGAAGCTCTTCTAAGCTCTTCAAACAAAATCTTATATACAAGCCCAGTATGTGTTAGGTCAAAATGTCTGGTTCAGGTCAGGGTAGAATTTGGGGGTGGGGAGGGGTTTTGCCCAGTTGCTGTCTCTATATATATATATTTATATTTATTTATTTATACACTCCCTCCCTCTCCCTCTACCCCCTCCCCACCCCACTAGTAAGTGGAATGTACATAAAAGGCCTTTTTAAGAAATGTATGTGGTTGATCATGTTTACTTTCTATATTGGGTTGGCAAACTGTGTGAACAGCCGCGCACTGAGAAACTCGGGCTTCGCAGGGCGTGCGTTTCCTGTCGCAGCTGCTCAGCTCTGCCCTTGTAGCACCAGAGCAGCTACAGACGTTATAGAAGTGAGTAGGCACGGCTTTGTTCCAGTGCAGCTTAAGTTATGGGTACTGAAATACGCAGTTCATGTAGTTTTCATGTGTCACAATGCCTTCTTCAGGATATGATTTTTTAGTTTACTTATAGGAGTAAAGTATTTTTTTAAAAAAAGGCCCAGTTTCAGGGCTTGCTTTCCTGTACTTGGTTTTGGTTTTACATTTAAGTACCAAAATACCCAAACATCTTTTGTTAGTGTTCATTAACACTCCCATTTGTGTTTGTAATCATCTTATTTAAAAATAGCAAGATTGAAAATATCCTTTCAGGGCTGTTTGAAGAATATCTGACATTAGTTGGGTTTATAATTAAAGGGGCACAGTTTGCTGGTGAAGGTGGGATGGGTGGTAAAGGATGGGACATTTCTTAGACTCAGGTTGTTGCTTGACTGCAGGAGGAATTCGGACCAAAGAGATCTGTGAGCTTTCCAGTTACAAAAGAGAAACTTGTGAAGACTATAGGAAACAATGTTTTTCTTGGGAAAAGAACTTGCAGCAAAAAAGATTGAATTTCTAACTGTCATCTATTAGGTTGGTGCAAATGTAATTGTGGTTTTGAACTGAATTTTAAATCATTAAACTAGGTTCAAACACGTCTTTATTAATCAAAGTAGAAGCCATTACAATCAACCATTTTTGCCAATGACAGATAAGTTTGTTTACTCCTGTAGCATAAAAATCCATGCTTTGGGATTCAATGAAAGCTTGGAAAGCACTTTCTGCCTTCTACTGGTTATGGAAGCATTTTCCCTGCAAAAAGTTGTCGAGATGCTTGAAGAAGTGGTAGTTGATTGGCAGGAGATCAGGAGAATGTGGCCGATAAGGCAAAACTTCGTTGCCTCATTCATTCAGCTTTTGAAGCATTGGTTGTGTGGTGTGTGGTCGGGCCTTTTCTGTTGACCAATGCCAGCTGCAGGCATTGCAGATTTCGGTGTGTCCTATCAATTTGCTGAGCATCCTTCTCAGATGTAATGGTTTTGCTGGGATTCAGAAAGCTGCAGTGAATCAGGTGGGCAGCAGGCCACCAAATAGTGAACATGGCTGTTTTTTGGTCCAAGTTTGACTTGGAAAGTGCTTTGAAGCTATTTCTCAGTCCATCTACTGAACTGGTTGTCACCAGTTGTCATATAAAATCCACTGTTTGTCCCACGTCACAATTCCATTGAGAAATGGTTTGTTGTTGCGTAAGAGATGATAACATTTCAAAATGAATTTTTTGATTTGCAGTCAGCTTATGAGGCATCTACTTATCAAGCTTTTTCACCTTTCCAGTTTGCTTCAACTGCCTAGTAACCATAGAATGGTCAACGCTGAGTTCTTCAGCAACTTCTCGTGTGGTTGTAAGAGCATCAGCTTTGATGATCCTATCAGTTGGTCGTTGTCAAGTTCTGATAGCCAGCCAAGCACTCCTCATCTTCAAGGCTCTCACTTCATCTTGACCACTTCTGCACTAATGTGTTCGTTAGCAATTTCTGGGCCAAATACGTTGTTGATGTCATGAGTTGTCTCTGCTGTTTTATAACACATTTTGAATAAGAAAATTGCCTGAACTTGCCTTTTGCCTAACATCATTTCCCTAGTCTAAAATAAATGTAAAATAGACAGCAAATAATAAGTCATTAGCAAAAAAACATATTGAGAAATGTGCATTAAAATGATGTATAACATAATCACATTTTAGAGTGTATTCCAGTATCAAATGGCAAAGTTCAACAATGCAAAACCACAATTATTTTTGCACCAACCAAATAAAATGCCACTGACCTTCTAGTGTACTAGAAGCTTAAGGCCATAATTTTTCTCAGTGTGTTTAACTTTATCATTGCAGTGAATGCATTGCAAAATTACTAAAACTAGACAATCTTTCCATTATTAGTATGTCATCACATTAAGTAGTTTTTTAGGCTTTAATATCTCAAGTCTCAAAAAGTTATCTTGAATTTTGAATGTTCTTAAAAGAGTTTTTGAATAGCTTGCTTAGAAATGTGCATGTGTGCTAGTGATAGTCCAGACAGTGCTGCCCAATAGAAATATAATGTGGGTCAACAGTGAGCTACATAGGTAATTTAAAATTTTCTAGTAGCTACATTAAAAAAAATAAGCAAGTGAAGTTAACTTTAATAATAAATTTTATTCTAATATATCAAAAATATTTTATCATATCAATATAAAAATTGAGATATTACATATTCTTTTTTTCATACTAAGACTTTGAAATCCATTTTGTATTTTACATTTAGAGTACATACATGTCGATTTAGATTCTCCATATTTCAGAAGGTCAACAAACAGCTACATATGGCTAATAAATGCTGTATTGGACAGTGCAGCTCTAGAATGATAAGATTCTTGGCCTTCTGAAATGTTGATAAGTACTCAATCCAGAAAGCCTTTTTACCACACCTATAAGGAATGGGAGGAAATAGAACATAAATACTGAAACTTCCCTGTGGTCCAGTGGTTAGGACTTCTCCTTCCAATGTAGGGGGTACAAGTTCATCCCTGGTTGTGGAGCAAAGATCCCACATGCCTTGTGGCTGAGAAACCAAAACAAAACAGAAACAATATTGTAACAGTTTTAGTAAAGATTTTAAAAATGGTCCACGTCAAAAAGATCTTAAAAAAAAAAAAGAACAAATACAGCTACTGTTGAGAAATGGGATCTAAATCCACTTGAGTCATTTATGTTTGGAATTAATATTAGTCTGGCATGCTGTAGTCCATGGGGTCACAAAAAGTTGGACACAGCTGAGCAACTGAACTGAACTGCATGTTAGTCTTCATATCCAAAAAATTACATTCTGGACTACTGATATGAAAAATCAAACATTGTTTTTTTAAGAACTAATCTTTTTCAACTTTTGGCTAAGTTGCTTTTTCTTTCTGGGTAATGAGTTTTCTGGGAATAAAGATTCTTGTATTGTCCTGTTACTTTTTGCAGGTTTTAGTCCTTGAATATAGATATATTTGGAATTTTAAAAATTAAATTTTGAAAAAAAAATTTAATTTTGGAAATAAGAGACTTTGTCGAAGAACATTTTCTTTCTTGACAAGCACCTGAAGTTAAACCTCATTGTCTTCTCTAAATATGTAACGCTGCAACAGTGAAGGAACCTTCAGTCTACACTGAAGAAGGCCTCTCGTCACTGTGAACCTGGGACAGCCATTTCTGTAGTTGAGTCAAGGATATACAGTTGATTTTCTTATGCAGGGGACACTCAGTCATAAATTTGAGTATGGTTATATTATATCTCTAGTAAATACCTCTACTTTTTTGCTTTAAAACATTCTTCAGGAATTCTTTGTGTGTACAGTTTTGCTTTTTCTGGGAGGAGAAAAATTTGTTGTGGCAACACCTTGACTCAGATGTTCATATGCCTTTGTGTCTTAATTTGCTAGCAAGGCCTTAACTTGGTTTATAGAAAAGGGACTTGTAACTTGACTGTAGATTTCGAAGAAAGATTCGTAACCAAAGGCCTGTCTTCTATTAACTGATTTGGTAGTGGTACTACTTGAGGTTTATTTACTGTATTTAATATAATATGTTTCCTAGTAAGGAACTGTAATTAATTGAACTTTGTTAATAAGGAAAGAAAAGTGTTGAAATACTGGAAATTGAAAGAAAGTCCCATAGAGAAGTATAGATTATCTAGACCAGTGCTTCATTAACTGTAATACACATATGAATCTCCTTGGGGATCTTATTAAAATGTAGATACTGATTCAGTGGGTCTGGGTGCGCTTGTTTTTCTGAGACACTTCTAGGCTCTGCCTTTGTTGCTATTCTGTAGACCACCTTTCAGATACTAAGGATGTAGACCAGCGATCCCCAACCTTTTTGGTACCAGGGATTGACTTCATGGAAGGCAGTTTTTCCATGGACTGGGGATTAGGGGGATGGTTTGGGGATGATTGAAGTGTATTACATTTATTGTGTACTTTATTTCTAATCTAATGCTGCCGCTAAACTGACTGGAGGTACTGGTTCCTGGCCCGGAGGTTGGGGATCCCTGGTGTAGACCCTTATTTTGTGAAAGAGGAAACGGAAGCCAAGGGAGAATTACTGACTGGTCTATGTTTTCAACATTGTTTAGTGATAGTTAAGATTATATACCCTGAGTCTCTTAATTTGAAGACTTGTACTTATTTAATAGACTTATTCTGTTTCCGTATTAATGGCCAATGTGTTTGAAGTGTTCAGCTGTTGAATTTTCAAAGTGCTCAGTAATGATGACTTAAGTTAAAATATTATTATATGGAGGAATAGGAAATTATAAACCTATTCAAATATTTATTTTATATCCTTTGTATTGTACAGGGATTATGTCCTTTTTCTTTTTTTTACCTCTGTATTTGTTCAAAGTTGTATTGCTGGCCAGATAGATATTATAGGAACTAGATGATGTATGAAATTGTGTATTTTCCCCCCACTGCAGCCAGATATAAACAGTTTGGTTCTTGGTTTAGGTGATAGCAAAATAATTCAGTGGTATCTCTTCCAGCACTTAGTTGTGAAAAATTTCTATTTAAAAAATAAAACAACTTTATCCTGGGTGTTTTAATGACCTGACAGGAATATGGGCTTTATATTTTCACTAGTTCTTTTCTCATCATTTCTAATGATCATCTTTGAAGAAATCTGAGATACCTTGTTTCTAATAAGATTTTTAGCCATTTAATCTCAGAACTCTGTTTGGCTTCCTCTCACTAAAGAGTTAAGCAGTGATAAAAAGGCCATTGAGAAGCATGGGTTGACTAGAGGGCTTGGGTAATGTTCTGAAAGAGAGGTCTTAGATACTCAGTAGGAAATTATACACATGAAAGACCTGAGCTTCACTTTGTCTGCATAGCCTTGAAATAGGCTTATTCTCCTTTTTAGATTTTTCTGGGTATCAAGTAAAAATTAATAGCAAATTGAGATGTTTGTGTCTATAACTATATACCAGTTGCAAGGGAGTTTTTTTTTTTTTTTTTTTAACATCAAGGTAGTTAGAATAGACTTTAAAAATTCTTTCTCATTTAGTCAGAGTGATTTTTCTCAGGATGGCTGAGAAAACCTGTCTCGAGGGCAAGGTTATTATTAAAGGGACATTAGTATATTGGACTAGTTTCTTGGGTTATAGTAGAAGATGAGTAGTAGTAAAAAATTAGGTATCACCATCTGAAAACTTTTTGATTATTTTTATATCAATATCAGCACATGAATCTTAAGAGGATTACATGGGTCAGTTAAGAGAAACAGGCTTTTAATGTATGAGTATTTAAAGAGTTCCTTGATAAGAGATTTCTTATATAAAGCTGTGCACACAAGGGGCATTGACTTACTGGCAGTGGAAATTGCCACTTAAAGTCATTTCTTGTGGAGTATGTAGCATTCTGTCTCTGACATAGTCTCCTGATTGGTGTGCAGAGCACTGGCTAGCTTGAATTTCAGCAGTTCTGTGATGAGATCTAGCATATGGCAGTTTAAAGTTATACTTTCTGCTAGTGCTCATTTTGCTAGGTATTTGAATGATTTGAATTTCTTAGACTGCTTTCATTCAGTCTCACTTTTGTTTGTATTTGTACCTCGCTTTTTTCGTCATCTCGTAAAACCCACTGTTTGATATCACGATAGAACAGTGTTCGAGCTTTTTCCTCTCCCATTCTGTCAAAATTTTAACCTTGCTTTATATTCTTCTAGTCCTTTTCCTTTTTCTCATATTTAACAAAAATATCCCCTTGGAAAGAATGTTTGCTCTAGTTTAGCATTCTTCCTGTTGTGTCTTCAGTCTAAGTTGATTTGAATCCCTTTGGCTTGGGGTTGGGAAGATTTTAAAGTAAGAGTATATTAGATATGTTCTGTAATGCTCTTGAAAAGGCACCCTTGTGGAAATAGATCCTTGGGAAAACATTTAGGTGAAAACAACATTTTGAAGTCTATGAAATGAAATTTACTGGAAAGTTAGAGGTGCTACTGTTTTCCTGGGCACTCTACTTGAGACAGTTAAGTGTAGATTGAGCCCAGGGCTCAGCACATTAGAGACTTAAGGAAGAAATCATTTCTTCAATTTTTCCTCTGCAGTGGTGGTGACCGCGGTGGCTTCAAAAATTTTGGTGGTAAGTGCTGAGTATCCCAAAATGTTTCAGTGGAAATGCTATATAAATCTAAAAGCCACCAATATCCCGCAGACGTAGTCTAAGCCCTTTCTTATTCTGTTGAGGCTGGTGTGTGTTGTGTGCTTAAAAAAATTATATACATATTTATCTCAAAATATTAAAAAGACAGAGTTGATCTCAAATAGTCCAATGGGTTTCTACACAGTGAATTTGCATGAGAGTCTGTGGTGACCAATGAATGAGACCGTCACTGGATTTTGTCAATAACGTTTTTTAATAAAGGTAGCTGACATGGTGTTTTTAAATTACTAGGGTTTTCCAATCAGCCTTCACAAACAGAGCTTAACAAAAGTGATACTAGCATAATGCCAAAGTGGCTGGTGCCGTCTGGGAAAAGCTTAAGGGAATATTGACATTCATCTTGATTTCTTAAACTTTTAATAAAACTTAATTTATATATTTACTTTGTAAATCTGTGATGGTTACTTACAAGGGTTTTGAAAGTATTGACTTTTCATGCCTTGGTTATTATTATTGTTTTAAATGATTTCTAATGAGTCGCCTTAAATAGCTTTCTTTTTCTTTTTCTTTTCTTTTCCCTTAGGTCACAGGGATTATGGACCCAGACCAGATGCTGGTAAGGTTTATAATAGTTTGTGACTTTGCCATTAAGGAAATGTTAGTTTTCCATTTTTTCAAAGGAAGAATATGTGTGTTTGGAGGAGTTAGTACAGTAGGAAGATTTGATTTGATGGTATTGCCAGAACCAGGAAGCTTCACTTTTAAAGATGTTCCAACAAGAAAAATTCAAGGGGTTTGGAAAGTTTGCTAAGGAAAATCACTGTTTGTGCTTTCCCCTGCTCCCTCCTCTTTGTTTTTGTGAAGAAACACTTGATTCTGTATGTCTCATTAGCATTATTTATTTAATGACTATAAATTAGGTACAAGAGGATTCGTATCATTGGGGAATTAGAATGGCTGTGTTGAAGACAATGTGTTGGATTAATAGTCTGCTTAATGGGCCTAAGAAACCTGAAATCACATGTAAGAGAATTGTCTTATTCTAGGCAGAGGTCACTAATTTCATGTGCCTTTTTATTTTCAAATGAGGTTCACGGCTACCTGGAGCATTTTGAAAGTTAGAATTTAGGTATTAAAAATTTGAGTTAAAAAATTTTAATATATATTGAAACCAGAACTTTTGTTTTTATTAAGATGCTAAAGTACTCTATATGGATGTCAATTTCTGAATTATCCCTTGATGGACTGAATTTTTGTACATCTTTCTTACTTTGTTGTACTAATCCAAAAGTATGTGAGTAAGGTAAGGTGTGTGTCAAGGTGCCTCTAATAATCTCATAAGTATTAATATATTCTGCTTAAGACACATAGATTATGTAAGAAGTCCACACTCCAGTATCATTTGTCTCTTATTTATACCCTCTGGTTTATATAAAGCTTATTACAATGAATGGGAAATGGGCACTTCTGCTCGGCTTGCTTGGAAGTCCAGAGTGTCAGATTTGGGGAATTTCTACCAGAGAACCTTAAAAGTATTGATTAGCCAGAAAGAATTGAAGCCCTCCTAAGAAAGGAATGCTACTTTATACTATGTTTCTTCATCTCTTTCTGAGCTTGAGTCCTGTATCTGAATTTGAAGAGTAAGATTTATAAGATCTTCCTTAATCGGTCTGTGTATTTGGCAGAGTGTGGACTTGAGCCACTTTTCATGAAGTTTAATTGCAAGAATTGACCTACCAAACAAATACTGTGACCATTTTGCATGTTTATCATAAGAGGTTTCCTATATTGGTCCTTCTTCCTTTTGGTCATAGAAATAGTTGAATATTGAACAGTAAATTACTGTTCTTGGTTACTAAACAGGATATAGTTAAACCTAAGCAGTATGTAAAATTAATCATATATATATTTTTTCCTTTAGATTCAGAATCTGATAATTCAGATAACAACACAATCTTTGTACAAGGACTTGGGGAGGGTGTGTCTACAGATCAAGTGGGGGAGTTCTTTAAACAAATAGGAATCATCAAGGTGAGTAAGAAGTTGGCTTATGTTGAAAATCTCATAATTATTAACATGTTCTGGTTAAGATACATAGATTATGTAAGAAGTCCACACTCCAGTATCACTTGTCTCTTATCACTTGTGCTCACCCGTGGCTGTAGGCCTTTGCTAAATTTGCTAAATACGTAAAGATTTTATTCCTTGCTTGTGTTTACCTTTCCGTAGCCTTCCACAGCTTTGGTTTTCAATCTTAGTACTCTAAACATAGTCTAAACCTCCTAAAACTGTGAGAACCAAATGAAATTGTGTGGCATTTTTATATTCTGAAATACCAACATATGAAAACCCAAGTTATTACTAACAACTTTTTATGTTGGTATATAATGTCTGCTATATATTTGCCTAAGATAATAATGCTTTATTTCATAACTTTATTGTACTTAAGTGTCTTGTACACTGTCTGTTTCATGCATATATTTTCATCTGCAACTAGAAAGCGGCATTTAGAGTAGTGTTAGTAGATTGTAGCATTTGCCTGAAATCAGGGTTTTTTTGGGTGTCTATGGAATTACTTGAATTATTTTTTTTTCCCTTCTTGGGGAGCAAACATTTCTTAAGAAATTATTATTAACACATTAAATATGTTAAAAAAATTCACATAGTTTCGAAAAGTAAAAATTCCTGTCTTCTGCTCCCTTCTCAGCCAAATCCAGTGTGTATGCCTTAATGGTAATTTATTTGCTTGGTGAATGTTCTTCCTGTTTTGTTTTGTTTTGTTTTAGATTTACAAGGTAAATGTTTATATGAAGCATTATGTTTATTTTTTTGAGGGTTTGAGGAAATTATATATAGATAAAACAGTATAATGTGTACCATTTTTATAGTTTGGTTTTCACTTAATGTATTTTAGAATTTTCCTTTTCAGAACCTACAGATAACTTCATTTTTATGTTAAGTTGGTAGTATTTATAGTATGGATATATGAATTCCTTTAAAAAAATAAATTTTTCATTATCTGTGTGGTTCATCACTTTTTCTTAAAACTAACACCAGCTTTTTTGTTCCTCAGACAAATAAGAAGACTGGAAAACCAATGATAAATCTGTACACAGACAAGGACACAGGAAAGCCAAAAGGGGAGGCAACAGTATCGTTTGATGACCCGCCTTCAGCTAAGGCAGCCATTGACTGGTTTGATGGTATGCCTCATTCATGTGCTTTCTGTGTGGTTTTGATAAATGTTTTCTGGTCTTGAAGTCAAAATATGTTCTGGTAGACAATGATTATCTTCATATTTACTTTTTTAGATATTCTATTGAGACTATAGGCCAGAATTCTTACATACCTTTAGAAGTGAGATGAACTGTTTCTTTGTCTTAAAATATTTCCTAATGTCATACTTTGTGCTTGAGGCCACCCTCATAGAAATGTAAAGTGTTGGCCTGGTTGACTATATTCTTTTAAAATTTAGGTTAATTTCTCTTCAAATGCAATGTTAATATGTACTTAGAAGACTTGTATAATAAGACTTTTTTCCCCTGAAAATAAGAAAACATGAAAAAGTAGAAGAAAGGAGTAAAGCTTCCATAGTCTTCTACATAGAGAAAACTACTGGTGTTTCTTCCAGTTTTTTTAAATGTATTTTTAAAATAGTTTTATCATTCTACTCCAAATGTAGTTTTGTCTCATGCTTTTATTTGCTTTTTTTTTCCTTGACGTCTTATCACAGTCATTTCCCCATGCTGTAAACTTATTGTTTTTGTTGTACCTTGTAATGGGGCTTCCCAGGTGGTGCTAGTGGTGAAGAACCCACCTGCCAATGCAGGAGAATAACACTGCATGTTTACTGTAGTTTATGAGCTAGGCACAGTTCTAAGAACTTTATGTGCGTTAACTCAGTTCTTCACAGTAACCCTGTAAGATGTACCCTTTTATTACCATCTTACAGATGATGAAACTCAGGCACAGAGAAGATAAGTAATTTCCAAGATCACAGAAGTGCAGAGTTAGGGCTCAAACTCAGGTAGTTGGGCTGCACTGTCTCTGAAGAAGTAAATTGTGCCTGATTGATAGGCACTTGTGGTTTCTCCCAGTTCTGAGATTATTGCACCTATGTCTTCCAATACACAATTGCATTTTAATTTTTTGCACTAAGCAGACCCTGCTTTTGAAAGGCTAGGTCCATCCTCCCTCACTTTTCTGTTTCATAGTTTCTGTGAATCGTAAAACTATTTAGCTTATAATATGTTAAAACAATGACTGTGTCTTTCCCTCATAGGGCAAATGAGGCTCTTAACAGAGACTCCATAGTTCAGATCTTAATTACCAGGCTTTTGTAGAGCTTTTAAAATATTTATCCGTGGTTTGTTTCATATGTCAAAGAGCTTGCTATACCATTTGATGTTGTGGAAGGTTGCCAGTCATAGCAATTAAGAGTTTTGCTGAGAGGGCTAAGACTCCCAGATTTCTATTTTATGAATCCTTGGGCACCTTTTTCTGATAAGTCTGTTCTCTTTGTTTAATACATAAAGTGAAAAGGCTAGTTTTTATCTCTAAGGCCCTGGGATAGCAGAATATGTGTATATGTATATGTATATAAATCACAAATGCACACATTATTTTTAAAGATACTACTTCAAACGTACCAAGAGTATATAGTAAAAAATGAGTTTCCTTTCTGCCTTTTCACCTACTGAGAGTTAAGCAACAATAGTCAGTGTATGAATGGGCATATGTGTGCATGTGCATGTATGCATACACATACACACTCTCATTCCCTTAAAAAAAGAAATGGTAGCATACTACATTCATTGGCTTTTTCTATGTAAAAATGGTTAGACCCTGGCTTTCTTGCTCCGTGAGAAATGACTGTCTCCCAGTGATAAGTACGTCCTAGTCAGTGGATCGTGTCGTATTCTACTACAGTTGCCTTGACTCTTGAACGCTCCTGTGTTTGAATTTCTGTGAGAACATGTCAGTTATTTCTCTGAAAACTAAAAATTTCCGAGGCAGTTTTGTCTTTTGTTGAGAGGTGGAGATATGGAGTATCATTTCTTCAAAGCTATTTTCATTGTTTTTTAGGAAAAGAATTCCATGGCAATATCATTAAAGTGTCCTTTGCCACCAGAAGACCTGAATTCATGAGAGGAGGTGGAAGTGGAGGTGGGCGGCGAGGTAAGATTCTTGTTGTTCACAGGCTTGGGTTTACACAAAGGGTTTAGATTTTCTGTCTTAAAGTGAGATACAGAATAGAAGATGAGGTAAATAAAGTGTCATAACAACTAAGAAAGTGATGGGAAAAGGTTCTAGAAATCCCTTTGGAAAGCTCCATAATGCAATTTGTTTCACTTGGAAATTAGGAGGCAGTTGTTTAACTGATAGCTGATTTGGTAGTTAATCTGACCAGTTTGTGAGTTTCCTGATAACAGTTACTGCCAACTTGTTTATTTCTGTTGTGTCTTAATTTCTTAAATTTGGAATATGTCTTCTCACCTAATCTTTATCACTGAGATTCTCAAACTGAGGAGGGTACTGTAGAAAATGGACTTTGAAGATTTTTAGTGCATTATTTGAACTATAATGTGCGTCTTGGAGCTTCTTCCATATTTCCTACGTTGACTGAATAAGTAAAGCCCAAGTCAAAGAATCATGGAGTCCTGCCATAAGAGGTTGATTTTGGGGGAGCTGTGCAGTTATTGATGAACACTTAGTTCTTTCATCTGATGCTCTTCCTCTGCTTTGTTCATATCTGCTACTGATTCTTCCCTCCTCCTTACTTACCCCAGGCCGTGGAGGATACAGAGGCCGTGGAGGCTTTCAGGGGAGAGGTGGAGACCCCAAAAGTGGGGACTGGGTTTGCCCTAATCCGTAAGTACCCCGTTTATTTTGGTGGATGTAGGAGTTGGGATTGGATTTGGAAGGTGTAAGAGGGGGCTCTGAATCCATTGGAAACTTGAGCGTTAGTTTCCCTTCTTTCTCAGGTCCTGTGGAAACATGAACTTTGCTCGAAGGAATTCTTGCAACCAGTGCAATGAGCCCAGACCAGAGGACTCCCGTCCCTCAGGAGGAGGTGGGTCAGCCTTAGCGTTGTCTGCCTGCTTCCCGTCTTCTGACTAGCATTAAGCAGGCTTTCCATGATTCTGCTGGCCTTACTGGTTTTCATTTCTACCTTGCAGATTTCCGGGGAAGAGGCTATGGTGGAGAGAGGGGCTACAGAGGCCGTGGGGGCAGAGGTGGAGACCGAGGCGGCTATGGTGCAGACAGAAGTGGGGGTGGCTATGGTGGAGACAGAAGTGGCAGCGGTGGCTACGGAGGAGACAGAAGTGGGGGTGGCTATGGTGGAGACAGAAGTGGGGGTGGCTATGGTGGGGACCGAGGAGGTGGCTATGGTGGGGACCGAGGAGGTGGCTATGGTGGGGACCGTGGTGGGGGCTATGGAGGAGACCGAGGAGGCGGCTATGGTGGAGACCGAAGCGGCGGCTATGGAGGAGACCGAAGCGGCGGCTATGGAGGGGACCGAAGCGGCGGCTATGGAGGGGACCGAAGCGGCGGCTATGGAGGAGACCGAAGCGGAGGCTATGGAGGGGACCGAGGAGGCTATGGAGGAGACCGAGGAGGCTATGGTGGAGACCGAGGAGGCTATGGAGGAGACCGAGGAGGCTATGGTGGAGACCGAAGTGGGGGGGGTTATGGAGGAGACCGTGGTAGTAGCGGTGGCTACGGTGGGGACCGAAGTGGAGGCTATGGAGGAGACAGGAGTGGTGGTGGCTATGGAGGAGACCGAGGTGGAGGCTACGGAGGAGACCGAGGTGGCTATGGAGGCAAAATGGGAGGAAGGTAGGTATTAGAATGTGTTTGCTAACATTTCTACCTCACTGCTCCTAGATTTTAGAGTCTAAGCCCCTTTCATCATGTTTTCTTCTTGTCCAGTTTTTTATAACTTGAATTTCCCATTGTCAACTCTTTCAGTTAGGATGGAGAAGATCCATTTAGTTCCCTACTTAATAATTTCCAAAATTTATTTTGTTTTGGAAATTCTTACTTGTGATCTTTATATTTGAATAATGTATGATAGGTGTGTGCATTCTTTGTTATAGCTAAAGATAATCGAGATTGAGAGATGATTTGAAACTGTGTGTAAATCAGGGATTTTTAATCTAAGTGCGGGGCAAGCATACCTTTTAGAGGGGTGTGCTTTTTCAGTCACATGTGCTACCTTGCAGTTGTTTCTTTGGAGATTGTTAACACCTTTTCCAGATTAAAAATCACTGGTGGTACTGATGGGAGTGTGTGATGCATGTGAAAGGTGTAGAGACAAGAAAGAGTTGAGTAACCAGTGATGCAAAATAAAATAACTTCAATTACTGTACTAAGCTTCTCTATGTCAGAAACAGTATAGGGCAGCCAGAATTAGTATAGCATAGAGTTAAGAGCACAGAGTTTGGAGACAGACTATCTTTGAAATCCTGGCTCCACCACTTATTAGCTGTGTGACTTTAAGCAAGTTACTTAACTCTTTGGAGCATCATATTCTCATCTGTAAAATAGGGCTAATGGCATTTAGCCCTATTTTGTGGAGTTGGATTAGATTATATTACAGCTGGCCATGGTAATCACTGAATAATTGTTACCTATTAGTGTAATTATTATCTACTGAATATTTCTTTGTGTGTGGCAAATCGTGAGAAAGTGTCTTTGTATACTGGAGTTCCAGTCCTTCTGTCAACCCCAGAGGTAGATGTACTTTCCGTTTTATGGAATAAGAAATGTTAGGTAACTTTTCCAAGATCACATACTAAGTGGCAGATCCAAAATTCTTACGTGAAGGTGTTTGCTTTCTTATTCCAATAATCTACTCTCTCTAGAGTGCTGGAATGGCAAGGCCTCCAACCTGAAATACCACAGTGGCTTAGAGTCTTTATTCTAGATGGAAATTTTTTTTAAGAGAATTAGTCATAGCAAAACTTCTAGGAACTTTGTGTGTCTTAAAGCTGGTAAATTAGACATTTAGTAAGCACCTTCTAGAAGTAGAGAACTATACTAGGCATATTGTCATCCTTATAGAAATTTGTCAAGCAGATGCTAGTCAGCAGCATCCTGAAGAAGTGTCTGATGCTCCCTCTTGGTAGAAAATTAGAATTTAGTCTGGCTCTTTATTTTTCATTCCTAGAAACGACTACAGAAATGATCAGCGCAACCGACCATACTGATGACTATTTTGAATGTTCCTTTGTCTCTGACATGATCCATAGAGAAATTGCCAGAGTTTTGCCTGCTGCTTTCCTCGTGGCCTCTTCTTGGGTAGTGAAATTAAGTGACATTTGAATTTTTATTTGGGTGGGAGGGTGGGGACAGTGTTTCTTTTAGAAATGTCAGTTGAAATATCCCCCTTTAGTTTTCAGCCTTTTCCTTCTCAACTCTTGAAGCTAAGTGCGTTGTAAAATATTGCCAAAATGGAAAGTGTTTTGTAATACTGCAATAAAGAATGCTTGTTTTGTGGACTTTTGTACATTAGTGCATTGTTCTGTCACACTTAGGGTGCAACTGGAGCAGACTTGAACCCTAAAGAATTAGGAAATGAATTCTACTTCATGAAATTAAAGTGTTATTTCCAACAATATTTATTGATCTCCTACTCTGTTAAAAATAGTAGTTTCCAAACATGACTGTGTGTCTGAACCACCCAAGGAGGTTGTGAAAATTGAGATTCATAGGCCTCACCCCAGGTCTGCTGGATTTGAAATTGGTGGGATGTCGGGAGGTAGAGCTGGGAATCTTATTTTAAGATCACCAGGTGATTTTGGTATAGTTAGTTTACAGTTGAGAATCATTTATTTAGGGGAGTGTTCTAGATTTTGGGAATATGGAGGTACAAGAGCTAGGTAGAAGAGTTAGGGTTTGACAAACCAGGGTTAAGATATCAATGTACATAGCATATCATTTGACATTCTATAAAATATTTTCCTACCCTTACCAAGGATAAGGCACTGCGTCGATGCTGGACATATTGCTCATCAAGCAAACAGATAGTATATAGTTTGATAAGTGCTCCATTGAGAATAAATGCAAGGTGCTTTGATGGCTGGTTGAAAGGATACTTAACCTAGTCGAGTGCGATTGGGAAGGCTTGATGAGTATTGAAAGAAGACTAGGAATTGGTTACGTAAAGAGGCTGGGGTGAGGAAATGATGTTCCCAGCAGAAAACTGACATGAACAAATCAAGAGTTAACAGAATGAAGAACAGGCAATTCACTTGAAAACTATGTAGTAGATTGTGATTGGAAGAAGGAATTTAAGAATGGGCATGCAAAAGTTTAGATGGAGAGGTAAATCAACTCTATAAGGTCCTTGCATTTTGTTTTCCCCTTGCCTCCATATGGAGGCATCATTAAAATATTTTAAGCAGGAGAGTGGCCTGACCTGAGTGGCATCAACTGAAAGATAATTCTGGCTGCCTTGTAGAGAGGTTGGACTGGAGACAGAGTGGTACACCAGGTGAGAGATGATACTGGTCTGAGCTCATATAGTGACTGGACAAGGAGGAGATAATAGATTTGAGAAATGAAGGGGGAAGTTTGACGGGATTTGGCTGGATGTCAGAAGTAGTGGGGAGAGAATAGTGAGGTTTCTGGCCTGAGCAGTTGGGTAGATGTGCTGCTTGTTAAAATTTTAGGAAACACTGGAAAAGGAAACGGGAGTAAGATGAAGGAAATTAATTCAGTTGTGGGTAAGTAGAATTTTTGACACTTGTGAAACTTTCACATAGGGACATTCAGTAGGCAACTGGGTGTGCAAGTGTGCAACTCCAGTTCAGTGACTCAGTCATGTCCGGCTCTTCGTGACCCCACGGACTGCAGCACACCAGGCCTCCCTATCCAACACCAGCTCCTGGAGCTTGCTCAAATTCATGTCCATAGTGATGCTATCCAACCATCTCATCCTCTGTCGTCCCCTTCTCCTCCTGCCTTCAATCTTTCCCAGCATCAGGGTCTTTTCCAATGGGTCAGTTCTCATCAGGTAGCCAAAATATCAGGTGGCAACTCAAGAGGACAGCAGAAGGCAACATTACGCTCCACTGATTCCTTACTGACTTCTTTCTCCTTCACGAACTTCTTTTTCTTTTATCTTTTCCTTCGCTGACTTCATGCTTTTTACACGTTAGAAGTTTCTCAGCTTGTTCTGATCCCCTTTCTTCTATTTACACTCACTTTTATCCTGGGTGAACTCATTCAGGCTGTGGCTTTAAATATCATGTAATATGGTGATGACTACAAATATGTGTCTCCAGTTCTGTCTTCCCTTAACTCTGGATTATATCCAGCTGCCCACTTGACCTTTCCACTAAGTTGTGTTGAACATAACTTTTGTGAAGACTGCTGGGACCAAACAGAACATCTCCAAATCCGTTTCTCTTTTCCTAGTATTCCTTATCTCAGTCTTCACCACCCACCCAGGTTGGATCAGATAAAAAACTTACAACTTATATTTGATTTCTTTTACTAATTGTATACTTGGAAGTCCTTTTAATCCTACTTCTAAAATATAGGCTTGAAACCATCTTTGTATTCCTAGTTGTAATCCTAGTATGAGCTATAGTCTCTGGTAAGTGCAGTTAGCCCATTAATAGGTCCCCTCCCCCTACAGTCTTGCACCTCTAAAAACCATTTTTCATACAGTAGCCAACAGTATTGTATGTCATGTCTCTTTAAAGCCCTTTCAGTGACGACCTATTGTATGTAGGCTATAAATTCCTTACCTTGGTTTACGGAACCTTGTGTGATCTGGCCTTTGTCTCTGCGGCCTCATAGAACATTTATCCATATTAGCCTTCCTTAACCACAGCAGTCCTAGTTCTTAATGGTTCCAAATGTGCTTCTGCTTTAGTGTCTCTATATATGGTTTGTCTCGGATTCTCTTTCCTCATGCTTACCTGGCTGACTGCTTTTCACCACAATGTTGGGTCCCATTGCACCCTCCCTCCCAGGTCTTTGCTGGCCTTCCTATCTATAATACTTCCTCTTCCAGTCACACATCACCTCTTGTAATGTCATCATAGTACTTAGCACTACGTGAAATCTTTTTGTGGTTAATTTTTCTCCTCCATTAGAATGCAAGCTCCAAGAGAGTAGGGAACCTCTTCTCTTGATCACTGTTCTACCCCAGTACCTAGAACTGTAGCAGACAGAGAATAGGTAGGTACTCGATAAAAACTGAATCTATTACAGATTTGAGTCATTATCAATGGTAATTAAAGGGATGAAAGGGGATATGATAAAGCAAGACAGTGGTGGTTTTTCCATTCTCAGTGAATACTAGAATTAGCTAGGAACTTTTTTACAAGGCGAAAGATGTCTGGACTCCAATCCAAAACAATGGAATCTATGAGGCCTGGCACATTTAAAAATCAAAAGCCCCTTTTGATTCTGATGGTTTTGGAGACTGTAGAGAGAGAAGAGCCTAGGATGAAACTCTTGAGAAATAGCAACATTTAAGAGATAATAGAAGAAGATATGGAAGAAGACAATGACCCGTGAGGTGTCTGTGGAACCCAAGGCAAGAGTGGATTTCAAGGAGAGAAAAACTACTGGTGTCAGGTTCTCAAGCTGGCCAAGCTATATAAAGACCAGGGGCTTCCCAGAGAGTGCAGTTGGTAAAGAATCCGCCTGCAATGCAGGAGACCTGGGTTCAGTCAAACCTGGGTTTGATCCTGGGTTGGGAAGATCCCATGGAGAAGGGAAAGGCTACCCATTACAGTATTGTGGCCTGGAGAGTTTCATGGACTTACGGCCTGGCATATGTAGTCCATGGGGTTGTAAAGAGCTGGACATGGACTGAGCAACTTTCACAATAGGAAGCATTGGTTATATATAGCAACATGGAGTTGTAAATTATCTTTGCACAGGATTTCTCAACCTTGGTGCTACTCACATTTTGGGTTGGATAATTCTTCATTGTTGGGACCTCCCCTGTACTTGGTAGGATGTTTAGCTGCATCCCTGCCCTCTGTAAGACACTGGTAGCAATCTCCAGTTGTGACAACCAGATGTGTCTCTGGACATTACCAAATGACCCTGGCTGGTGGGGGCAGGGGGTGAGGAGGAATTACCCCTTTTGAGAATCGCTACCTTGGCAAGAGTGGTTTTGGTAGAAAATTGAACCCAAACTGAAGTAGGGTAGTAAATAATAGAGAAATGGAGATCGGTGATGTGAACAACGATTTAAGAACCTTGATTATGAAGGGTGATTAGAAGTGGGGTGAGGTAAGAAGGGGAGGCATGTAGACCAGCGATACAGGTTTTTATTTTTAAGATGGGTGGGAATTGATCATGTTTGTGTATTACTTGGAAGGAAGTGGGGATAACTGGTATTTAAATTCCTTGAAGGAATGGCATCCAGAACACTGGAGGATTTTGCCTCAGAAGAGGAAGAGTGCCTCTTGCATGGTAATCAGAGGTAAGAATAAGTGCAGATGCTGATAAAAGTAGTAACAAATGACTAACATTTATTGGGAGCTTACTATGTACGAAGCACTTAATAAGAAATCAGTGTGTGTTAACTCATTTAATTCTCGTAACAATGCTATGAGGCAAAGAGGTATCGGGAAAAATACTCCCTTTGAGTATGAAATCACAGGAGAGGTGAATGGTGTAAATGATTTTGATTGCTACTGGAAGGGGCTTTCAGAAGATACATTGAGGAACAGAGACTCTGAAAGTTTAAGCAACTTACCCAGTATCACATCTCTAGTTAACTTACAGAGATCAGATACTAACTTAGAGTGTCTGGCCTTAGTGCCTATGCTCTTAACTACTGTGTATAAGGATTCTTTTTTTTTTTTTTTAAGGATTCTTAGAGATGTCAAGTATATGGGGTAATTTTCATCTGATGTGTTTTTTTTTTTTCTCTCCCTGAAGAGAAATAATGGTCTACTGAGAGCTGAGGAGGTAATGTGATAGAAAGTTTGAAGAGACTGTAGGAAATGTGACAAGAACAGAGAATGCTTGAAATAACTTGTAGGAAATAGGAAAGTATTGTCACTCAGCACCCATAAATTTGCAAGAGAACAATAAGGGCTCAGTAAGATAGGAGGCAAGTATTTTCGGGGAACCAGTCTGCAGGTGTGTGAATTCTCTCCACCATAATCAGCAACCTGGTTATAAGATCAGAGGCAATTTGATTCAGGGTTGGGAGTTTTACTAGTCAGGGAGA